CCTCAGACTACACACCTCAGCCCCCCCCCCCCCCCCCCCCGAATCACCCATTTTATCCACCCAGGAATATTTTTCTTGAGTTTGGGGTCAGGAGGTCAGAAGCTACAGGGGGTGGGGGGGGGGGGGGGATATCTTGAGGTGGTGCGGTCAGCCACTTGAAGTACAATATTGTTCCCGTAGCTATGCAGAAGACGTTACTTCAGTAACGTCTGGCGCTAGCCAGGGTTTACACAGCTTTAATTTGGTGTTTATGTATTTATTTGTTTGTTTGTGTCACGCCTGGCACTATCCCGTATCTGTCCCGTACCGTACCGTACCATCAAACACAGCTGGTCACAAACAGCTGGCCACAATATTTGCTGGCGCTATCCCGTATCTGTCCCGTACCGTACCGTACCATCAAACGTCGTATTATGTATACGACTCCCTGATGTATAGGGAGATTTTCTGGAAAGAAATAGGGAGACGAGGAGGAAATGCAATTAGAATGGACGTTAGTTGCCGAATAGGTGATAGGATGCGTCAGCGAAAACATACTTTGGAAGAGAGATCCCGTCGTCTCCAAAATAAGCGTGAACGGGCGAGTCAGCGCCGGTCACAGGAAACGTCGGAAGAGAGATCCCGTCGACTCCAGAACGCCCGTGATCGGCAGAGTCAGCGCCGGTCCCAGGAAACGTCAGGACAGACATCCCGTCGACTCCAGAACGCCCGTGATCGGCAGAGTCAGCGCCGGTCCCAGGAAACGTCACGCCAGACATCCCGTCGACTCCAGAACACCCGTGATCGGCAGAGTCGGCGCCGGTCCCGTAGCTATGCAGAAGACGTTTCTTCAGTAACTCATTGAAACGTTTTTGCAATACAATGATGTAGCTAATCAAAGGAAAAAAACATTTCCATCAGTTCTAACAACATGCACGATGAGCTAGGCAACAAAGCATAGCGTCGGGCCCTGAGCTTCCAAGCTCTCTTGTTGATTCCTTCCTCCGGGGGGTCTCCGCCGAACATTTCCAAAATGTAGAGCCCAAATCAGTGTATTGTTATTCGTTCACGGGATACGAAAGGAGAAGTGTGTGCAGCCTATACCATAGTGACTGATAAGTGTCTGACGCACCTGATCAAATACCGGTACAATTTTCACTGTATAGTTTGTGCTGCCGAATAGCGAAGTTCACAGTGCTAGTGATTGTATTGTATCATCCAATTTCTCTGCAGCCAATACCACCAACATCTCCCCACCGCCTGTATCATACCCTACCACAACACCAACTACTACACCAACCACGACACCAACTACCACACCGACAACTACACCAACTACCACACCAACCACTACACCAACCACCACACCAACCACAACACCAACTACTACACCAACCACTACACCGACCACCACACCAACCACCACACCAACCACCATACCGACTAACATGCCAACAACGCAGCCATCAACAACGCAACCACCGACAACGGAGGCACCAACCACACTGCCATTGACGACACAGACGACGACTGCCAGGCCAAGCTCTGCTGCTGCAGCGACTTCATTCTCCCCTGTGACAATGTCGTCCCAGACTGACCACGCTTTGCCAGGACAAACCAGTGCCAGGGGTATACAAGACGGTCAAGTCACGACTCCGCAAGTTACGCAGACCTCAGGTGAGAATGTCCGGTTGTTGTTGCTGGTGTTGCTGCTGCTGCTGCTGCTGCTGCTGCCCTGGTGTTGCTGCAGTTGTCAGTGGTGCTGGTGTTGCTGCTGCTGCCCTGGTGTTGCTGCAGTTGTCAGTGGTGCTGGTGTTGCTGCTGCTGGTGCCTTGGTGTTGCTGGTAGCCCTTTCCCAAAGGTGTGCGCCCTTTTTCGCCCTTTTGGAAAAGCCCGTTTCTTTCACCCTTTATTGAGTTTTTTTGTGAATATCGCCCTTTTTGAGCTTTTTGAGCTGAAAAAGTGCTAAAATCTGTTTGCTCATGCATGCGGTCACAGTTTCGGAGTGCTCGATCTGGATGGGCCTTGGCACGCCGCATTTTCGGGGGGGGGGGGGGGGAGGGGCAACAAGTTAGTTGGTGAAGCTTGTACCCGGTGTACAGAATGCTGTAAAAAATGGGTTTTTTTAAAAACTTAACTTCCTGTTTTGCCTTTCGTGGACCCATAAATGGAAGAGTGCGTATTCATTTCTCAGCTTGGGTTCATATCTGAACATGTATCATGGCTATCCTTCACTGAAAAAAGAGCACTTTTGCCTGTTTTCACTGCAAAAGAGCACTTTTTCAGCATATTTTGAGGAACGCGAAAAGCACTAAGTGCATATTAAAAGAGCACCTTTGGGAAAGGGCTAGTTGCTGGAGATGTTAGGGGTGCTGGTGGCGGCGGCAGCGCTGGTGGTTGCTATGACGGTAGTGCCAAGTTGGTGACCATGGTGCTTGCTGCGGCAGCATTCGTGGTGTTCTTTATGTCGAAACCCAATCTTGCAGTGAAACCTTAACCACCTTTGCACATGTTCTCAGCTCTGTGCCTTTTTGTCTTCCTTCTCTTTCTCACTTCCTAGCTCTTGCTCTACTCTCTTGAGCCATTTCCAAGCCAAGTAGGAAAGAGAAGAAGAAATCAAAACAGGGCTCCACTGCCCAGGAAAGCCCCTTCAGTTTGCGGTGCTGCAATACCAGGCTAAAGTAGTGGTCCAATACTCGCCCTTGTAAGATGTTGAATGATGCAATGTCAGCCCAAGTTGCTGTGCTAACATACGAGCGTAGCTTGTTCGGTATCCTCGCTTCCAAGATGGGCATGTCTGCGCAGGTGTGTATATATATTATAATAATTATTTGTGTGTGTATGTGTATGTGTGTGTGTGTGCACGTGACACCGTGTGTTTGCGCACGGTTATTTCTGCTGTACTCGTAGACGAGGAAAGCAGCTCGAGTCTTTTGACGGCGACAGTCCTGGGCGGAGTCATCGGAGCAGCAATCTGCCTGATAGTGCTGGGTACCATCATACTGCTCCTGTTCTGCAAGAGACGTTCCACCGCGTCGAAGAGCTTCACACCTAGCAGTAGCCGTGGTAGCAATGCCATGCATCATGCTGGATTGGAAATGCAGACGTCTTCGGCAGCCCTCGTCACAAGCAACCCATCCGCTCACCAGGCTGGCGGATACAGCGAGGTGCCGCGTTCGCAAAACGCAAGACCAGCATCAGCCGTCGTCATGGCAGCAGGGTCGGCCTCGGCGACAGCGGGGGAGGGCTCCGAGAGTGAGTACGACACGACGCTGACCACGGTGGATAAATACCAGAGCGTGGACGTGGACACGAAGGCACAGGTCTCCGAGTACACACAGCTGCGCAAACAACAGCACGGCCACTCGGCGTCGCGCAGCGATCATCGCAGTGACTACGACATGCCTATCAGTTGAGATAAGCGTACAGGTTCATGTGGACACATTGCCAGGTGATCGAGTGTTGATTTAGAATTTATATGATTACCGATCTGATAGTAATGAGAGACACGATCCTATTATACTGAGGTGCGTGTGTGTGTACATGTGTGTATAATTATGTATCCAGAATCAGATCTGCTATCGTTGCTATAAAGAGAAATCTGTGGGTGCACATCCAGGGCTTTTGCAGATTTGCGTGCTTCTATTGCGACGAGCGTATACATGGTACATGGTATTATGTGTGCACGAGCATGCAAACGTGCACAGGACAAGTGGGCACCTCCTTTCAATCTGTTCTGGACTTTTCATCGTTCTTTACTGCTACGCCATATTTGGCCAAAACAAAATACACATACACTATATTTACTAACTTGAGAGTGGTAGTAATTACGGAAGCACGGAATAACAGAATTACAGATCACTATCACAGAATCCGAAGTCTCTTAAACTTACAGCGTTCATTATTACTTTCCACTATCGGCTTTTACTACACTATTGATAATGTCATTTTTTATGTTAGACGGCCATGCAGTGTTTTCTCCCTCAAGACCTCCAGCTTTCCATTGTGGAATTGTGTGTCGTCTTTCAAGTATGATCTTTTATAGTATTATCTATTATGCAAAGGCACACAATGAAAACCTTGGCAAATTAATTCCGTTGTGACTCAGAGTTTCATGGCTGAGCCAATCATCAGACAACGATAATGGAATAGGAGGCAGCGCTGGTATATCTGGGGTGGAGAGAGGTGTGATAATACGATAGCGAGAGGAGTAATCGCGTGAATGTATACAGGGACAGGCTATTTCAGAGGCAGATGCAGTAGGCGCAGGTCTAGCACTAACAAGTACGCGCTTAATCTCGCACACACACCACACACACACCTCTGTATTATCTATTATGGTATTGTAGGACGTTGTTTGATCACTGCGAAGTTTTAGGGCTTGTTTTACAAAGCAATTACAACTTTCCAATGACCAGGATCAACTTTTAACTTGTAGCCGCACGCTTCTCCAACTTAAAACGTGCGAGTGAGTGAAAAGATTTTGTTACAGTCGACAGTATAAACCGTTGCCTACGAGTGTGAGCGACCTGTAATCATGCATCATGTGACGCGTGGCATTGCTGCCTTACATGCATCATGTTCTGTTACATCATACATGACTGTACAGATGTGCATGAAAACCGCTTGTAACCGCAACGGTTTCACAGCCGCCCAAGTCTAGCGGTCGGATACAGCTGTAACCGGTTTTCCAGCATAAACATTCAAGCTCTACTGATCACTATCAGCAACTATAAAATAGGTTGCATATCGCCCGCATAAAACGAACCATGCGGGCAGGTAAGGCATTATGGTCAAGGGCTTCGCAACACCCTACACCCCGTACATGTTGACCCGACTGGATTTCTTTGATCAGCACCGTTTACAGTAAAGTGTTAACGGTACCATTTTGGCTACCGAGGATAGCCATGTGCCGGCAGTGATGACTACACACCTTAGAATCAACCTGAGTCAGAGTCAGGGGCACGTTGAGATGCCATCGTTCATGCCTCGGTCCATATCGAGGCAGACAAAACTGTACCTACAAAATGTGGCACGCCACACAGCATGACTTTATTAGTCCACAATGTTCAGACAAGAACAATCAACAGCCACACTGCATAGATCTTTCATTGCTTTGCCAGCTGTCGACGCCAGTTGCCGTGGTATCGTATGTTGTTGTAAGAGAATACGTAGAAATAACTGTATTACTGTAATCAGTTTGTACACACATAATTGCCGTGCACAGTGCGTGCATGGATAGACAGCAGTGTTGAACGAATCTCATTGCAGATATCTCGATATAAATGAACTCTCCGGGCAAATCAGAACGTGTAGAAGAATATAGAACTCAACTCCGACAGAACCAGTCACCTACTCAGTTGCTCTGCAGCAGTAGCAGCAGCAGCAGCAGCAGCAGCGGCAACAGTGGCTGCAGCAGCAGCAACAGCAGCAGCAGCAACAGTGGCTGCAGCAGCAGCAGCAGGGGCAGCAGCAGCAACAGCAGCAGCAGCAACAGTGGCTGCAGCAGCAGCAGCAGGGGCAGCAGCAACAGCAGCAGCAGCAGAGGTAACACCTGTTTAAAGAAGCATTAGCAATGATGCTGAGCAAGCAAGGCTTCAGCCTACCAGGCACATACACATGATGATCACTATAAGCAGTCCAAGGTCCGTAGCTGGTCCAGTAGGCAGTACTATAGTTGGAGAGATACGCGTCCACAGGTGCACGCCTAAAAACACTGTCGCAATATCGCACAGTGGCTCAGCAGCCCGTAGCTGGTCCGGTAGTTTGGAGAGATGCGTGGACCATGCACACGCGGTAAAACACTGTTGCACTATTGCACAGTGCTAGCTCTCTGTTCTGCACTGAACACACGCACACAGTAACAAGCCGAAAGGCCAGCACACGCGGCCCAGCCCGCATAACGGGCCCAGTTTAAGTCTAGAAAAGGTGCCGTGCATATTGGAACGGCGCTGACTCATCGAGACCGTAGCGACATCACCAGTAACCGGCGTGTACAACAGAGCCACTTTAAACCGTCAGACTTCCGATGAGTAGAGATAGATTGGCTTGGACTGGCGGTGGAGACGCTTCTGTGCCGCCTTGTTACGTGAGTTCATGACCACCCTCTGTGATAGGTTCATCTGCAGCCACCCAAGCAGCAGAAGCAGCAGCGGCAGCAGCAGCAAAACACAAGCGGGGGAAAAACAGCAATATACGATTATTGTGCTGCTCATTGTATAGGACAAAAGAACGGTCCCCACCACCACCGATAGCACCATCGTCGCAACCAGCAGCAGCAGCAGCACCATCACCACCACCAGCAACAGGAGCACCACCGTCAAAGACGATGCAAACATGACACATACCGTATCTGAAAACATTATTTCGTCCGTGAGAGTTCATCTCGGGAGCAGTAGTAATACAAGTATGGATACTAGTAGGCTGTTGGGTGACACATCAGTGCCGCCTAGGCTGGACTGGGTCCTGCACCCGGCAGGGAACCCACTAACTACTGTAAAAGCAGAACATTTTGTTGGTGTTTCATTTTCGGTAACTTCGGTGCGGGTTTACTGAAAATTTCCCTCCGCCGAACTGCCGATTTTGGAGAGTACAGAAAATATTACAGCAGCGAAAAGTTCTGCTTTTACAGCACTTGTAGTAGTAAACAAGCCATATCAGCACGCCACGTGCAGGGCCTACCCTCCACATACTGTTGTGCTCTGCTACGGACAAAGCGGATCTGATTTGATCCAGAAGTTATTATTATTATGACTAATGACATCATCGCTTTCAGGTCCTATGCTGATCACATGTGGGCCGAACAGTAATGATCACTGCAGCCAGGTATACAGCATGAGGTAGAACTTACCGGTCTCGGGTATGGGTTGTTGTAGTGCTGAGCTGAAAAGAAGAAAAAACACGCACACACACAAACACACGGGCGCACACCCATGTACGCACAGAAACACAAACGAGGAGGGTAAGGCTCATCATGAACACCAACACAAATACATGTACAGTGAAACCTGTCTGAGACGACCGCTCAACGGACCTTCAAAATGTGGTCTCTGATACCAGGTGGTCGCCTTATCCAGGGTCATTTGACTGGAAATAGCATCCCTTGGTTCTGGTTGCAGTGGTCTTCTTGGACAGGTGGTCGCCTTATCCGAGTGGTCGCCTTGTTGTTGTTGTTGTTGTTGTTGTTGTTGTTGTTGTTGTTGTTGTTGTTGTTGTTGTTGTATACTTTATTTATAGTGGAAATCAAAACAGGCAAAATGCCTAATAACATTGGACCCACTGTGAATAAAATGTTAAATGATATTGTGGAAAAGTAGATACAAGAGAAAAAGAGAAAGGAAAGAAAAAACGAAAGGTTGGTTGCAACGAACAGATATCAATCCAGTGAGCATTGGAAAACCTATGTCGCTGATAATATATACTGCAAGGCTTGAGATTTGAAATCCAAATACCTATTTGAACATTTTGCTGCTGGTGGCAATCTATTCCGCATAATGGCTCCAGCGTGCGTTAGGCGCTTAGCAAAACGAGCAGTGCTAGCAGGTGGGACCACAAGCAAGTTGCTTTGGCCTCCTCGAGTGCGAGTTGAGGGCACGACAGCAAAAAAGGACTGAAATAGGGTGCTACATGCATCATGCAAACTCATCGCCAGATGAAACAAAACATATTCAAGTGCACAGAAACCTGTAGATCACATACATGCATTCGATTTAGCAGGGGAGCAGTACTGGTCCACGGTGGCGACTTGCAGACTGCCCGAGCGGCACGTTTGAACAGCCTATGTAGCCGTTGTTCCTGGGCAACTGTCAAATACGGGTAGTAACTAATAGAAGCATACAAAAATTCAGGCAAAATGATAGATCTGGCCTTGACAGGTTTTACTGTACAGTAAAACCTGTGACTAACGACCACCCCTTGGGGCCAGAGAAAGCGGTCTTTAGTAGCAGGTGGGCCTTAGAGGTTTGCACAGCACCACCACATATGAATGTGAGACCATACGTGCCTGGCGAAGTGGTCTTTAGTAGCAGGCTGGTCACTAGTCACGGTGGTCTTTAGTACCAGGCTGGTCGCTAGTCACGGTGGTCTTTAGTAGCAGGCTGGTCGCTAGTCACGGTGGTCTTTAGTAGCAGGCTGGTCGCTAGTCACGGTGGTCTGTAGTACCAGGCTGGTCGCTAGTCACGGTGGTCTGTAGTACCAGGCTGGTCGCTAGTCACGGTGGTCTGTAGTACCAGGCTGGTCGCTAGTCACGGTGGTCTGTAGTACCAGGCTGGTCGCTAGTCACGGTGGTCTGTAGTAACAGGTTTTACTGTACTTATTTTTGAAGTAAGGTCTACTTTTGCTTGGTACATTGGGACAATTATGGACGGCCGGTAGTGAGAAAATCGTAGTAACAAAATTATTCGTCGGGAAATAAATTTTGTCATTTCTGGTCCCAAAAACCTTTGGATCAAACTTAATGCAGGCCTATATGCCGACATATCTAGCCTTTCAGTACATTTTCAACAAAACAATTTCAACCAAACAGACCGCAATGTCTTCCTTTGAAGTTGGACGAAATTATTCGGCAGATAAAATTTCCTCTATCGCAGTAATTAGCTCGGAAACTCACTTGGGTCCGAGTACCGTATTTCTCTAAATCTAATTATGTCGCACCTTTTTTACAACTAACTTCAGGGCCATCAAAGGAGATGCGACTTAGAATCGAGCATGACTTATTACTGAAGTGAATATATCAAAACAATAATGACATGGACATGGAAATGGGGGTGCGACTTACAATCGAGGAAACACGGCACTCGGATACGCTTATAGAGTATGTCCTGGTATAGACACAAAGGCGAACAATGATTGTGTTTCCATGTTGCTAAAGAACACATAACCACACTCACCGATTTGAATCCGGGACTTCCCCTCCTCCAGTAGCGCTTGTACCCGCTCTGGGTCCGTCTCCTGGAAAACACAACACAACACCACACAGCATGAGTTCGTGTACTGTAAAACGAATTTTCGGTGGTGTAATATTTTCGGTATTCTCCAAAATCGGCAGTTCGGTGGAGGGAAATTTTCAGTATACCCGTTTTCCAGGTAAGTGCACTAGTAGCGAAATTTTTGGCGTGTTTTATTTTAGGTTAATATTTCGGCACCGAAGTTACCGAAAATATAACACCACCGAAAATTTCTGCTTTACAGTAAATCTACTGTACAGGTCAGGTCACAGTGAATGATGATCGGTGCCGTAACCACAGTGGTGCCAACTGAGATCCGACGCCAGGAGCGGTGCGCTCGCACAGCACCAACACAGCACGTGGTGACCACACCAGCCTTTTAAGGGGAATTCACAGAAGCTTTTTTTGGCGATTGGACGCGATCTGCGACGGAGGCGTGCGATGCGAACTCGCGAAATACCATTCACAGAAGAAGTGAGTGATGTGACGTCGCTTAGCTGATTTGGCGCGCAGTTTAATGCAGGCGAGTATGTCGCCATGGTATTCGCGTGGCTTGGTAAAACTTTTACAAATCTACAAGCAACTCTTGAATCATTGTATAACTTTGCTGCAGACAAGGTCAAAATCGTACGCCACGTCGCTTGTCGCATCGCGAAAGTTGGGCCAAGCTCAACTTCTGCGATCATCCGGGGCCAGTTGCGACAGTTGCGTGAGCTGCGAGATGGAGGCGATTTGGGGATTTCTCGGTTTCGCAAAAAATGCTCCTGTGAATCCCGCATAAGACATGGACAGTGCATGTCTGCATATCTACAACTGCTGTACTGTATGCAGTTACAACAGGACAATGGGGAGGTTTTTACAAGCGGCACATGTGCAACACGAGACCAGAAAGGGAATGCCAAAAACACTGATCTTCACGTCATAGCTTCGCCCATTTTGTACTTGTATTGTATTTTATTATCTGAAGCTAAAAGAAGAGCTCGGTCACGTTCCAGACGCAGTTGCTGACTTTTACTGTTCAAAACAGAAACCTCTGCCCATGATGACGTAGATTTGGAGATAGAAATGTGTTTCAAATTGCAGCTTCGTGGAACGTGGTGGTGATGGCGGTGTACGTGAAATGCCGTATTTTTTATCCAGTGTGTCACCTCTGCGTCCACTTCTGGTGTACTAGCTGTGCTAGTACTTGTTAGCAACAATCCGAACTAGCGCACACACTGCACTGCATTGCTTTGTACTGCATTCAAGACTGACGTCATGCGCTTTGTTTTGCTGCGTAATCACAAATGGCACCAGCCCATTTTACGGAAAAGAAAAACAAATCTTGCTTGCCCTGTTGTGCTCTTCCAGACAACGGATCGTGCTTCAGCAGTGTTTCTCTGGATCATGCAGCACGAGTTTGCTATAGATCACCAGCTTCATTACCTCGATGACTTTCTCGATATCTCCACTGGTTTGGCTGCAGCCAACCAGCAACTCACCATCCCCCTTCGGGCATTCACGTATCTCGGCACTCCTCTTTGCTCCATCCCAGCTCGAAGGGCCACCACCATCATTGACCTTCCTTGGTATTGTCCTAGACTGCGAGCGCCACGAAGCTCGGCTACCAGAGGACAAGCTGTCCGAGATCCGGGCGCCACTCATGGCTACTATCAGCGAGCGCAGCATCGGCCAGCGTCAACTCGAGTCCCTCCTGGGGAAGCTCACTTTTGCTGCCTGAGTCATCGTTCCTGGACACACATTCATGCGTGAACTATGATCAGCGTGCCCTGAACTGTATCTGTGTATGCGAGTGTGGTGCATAAAGCCCACCTTGAGAATGGGTTTGCCGGCCCCCTTAGTAGATGCGTGGCTTCTGAAGAGGGTGTTGAAGGGCATCCAGCGATGCCATGGTACGGCTGTACTCACCCATCGCCTTCCTATAACTATGCCAATCCTACGACACCTGACGGATGCACGCCGGAAAAGTAGTATCCTGAATGGCCATGACAAGCTGCTCTACCAAGCCGCCATGCTGCTTCTTTGGATTTCTTCGGTGTGCTGAATTCACTAATGGCATCACACGGGGCTGTACTAGCTCCCCTGGTGACGGACGCCTGCAACTCTTCCTGCTTTCATCCAAGACGGACCCATTCGGTAAAGGCGTTACTAGTGACATTGGCCCGTCTGTACCGCCGTACTGCCCGGTCCGTGCCATTGTTAGCTACCCATTTGTCACTCGTCGCGAGGGACCGGAGCAACTCTTGTTCGTACTCTCGAACAGACAGCAGCTGACCAGGCAGTCATTCACAGTAACAGTATGGTCTCTTGTCGCTGCGGCCGGTGTACCATCCCAGTCGAACTACTCCGGGCATTCGGTCCACATTGGTGCAGCCACCACCGCTGCTATGGCTAGTGCCCCCGACTCCTTCTTCCGAGTGGCAGGTCAGTGGAAAGAGCGATGCGTGTCTATGCTACATCCGGACTACAACAAGCGGTAAGCGCAAGCTATCGTCCCGGCTTGCTGCCGTGCCATGGATGACATGATCCCCCAACTCGGGTGATTAATAAGCTACTGAACTCTAGCTGCACAATGCTTGCTCTGCGTCCACTTCTGCTGCTTACTTTCTTGTTAGTGTCTCCCCTACAAATACAAATAATTTGAAATCGTATTAAAGTATAACAAGTAAAAAGGACCAACTTGTAATTTGTAGTTCCTTGGTCCTTTTTATAAATAATACTTGGCTCTCCATCCGAGTATTAAAGTATCTTGCGCCTTGAATTACTCTCACTCTCAGTGCAGTGAGCGAATAAACTATAATGATACACCAGCAGCTATTGCACTGCTAGCTGCTGCCTTACGAAAATATTTCCTTCGATAAACATTTCCTTCCTTCACCATTCGAAACAAACGCTACATTTTACAACAACGAAAAAAGCAGAGCTGTAATCAATGACCAGAACTTCTTACATGCTTGTTTTCTGCAAACAACTCTTTAGCTTCATGTCTGATGTAGTTTCGCTCCTTGACGGTGTCCTCCACATCGTTCGCCTCCCAATGCTGCGCTGTGCGGAGGAGGGATCGATACAGGCCAAGTGCCTGGCGACGAACACACACAAGGCTACGAGACATTGCTGCTGGACTTCTTCCACTGCTCTTCACTACTACTAGTCGACTTCTCAAGACTCCATCATTCATATCAGCAGAAATCGTCAAAATGTAATGGCATGATTGGCCATTCTCTTAGGCCAAGTTAGGGCGCGTTCGAATTGGCACTCTTTGACTTTTCGAGGAGCTTCGTTTTTCTGAAGAGGTGGCCTTATTGGCCTCTTCAGAAAAACGAAGCTCCTCGAAACTCCACAACCTCACCCGATGCCAGAGGTGGATTAGTTTCGAAGAGTTTGGAATAGCTACGTCACGTAGTGCGTGGAGATGGTCGATCTGATCGGACGTCATCAGCGCCATGACAATTCCACTGAAAATCTCTAAAAATGATAGAAACCGTTCTAATGGCAGTGCAGTAATGGGACACTTCAACTACTGTAATCTCTTTATAAAATTTGTTTGAACAGTTGATGAAGACAATTCGAACGCGCCCT